TATTTTGCACAATGGCTTAACATGCAACATTTTTCATCATATTTGGAACTATTTATATAATTACATCCACTAAACATTTGTGTTTGCGTGAGATTAGTGGGGAGAACAGAGAAGACTAATAGGTAACATCTGTGCAGAAATTTGATATTTGTTGTAATATTTCTCTAGTGACCATGGGCAGAATACATTAGATCATGTTTCTAAAGCTTATACTAGCATATTTTAACATAGAAGCAATAAGACTGGGGAAGACAATCATAGTATTTGATCAAAGTGCACTCATTTTTTCATTGCTTTAGTCCAAATAAGTTCTGTAATAAGTATAGATATCTGAATGGTAGTAAATTTTGTAAGTTTGAATAGTGTTTTTCTTCTTTGGTTGGTTTTCTGTGGGTTGTTTTTTTTGTTTTCTTTTTTTTGTTTTTTTTGTTGTTGTTGTTGATTTGGGTTTTGTTTGTTTGTTTGTTTTTTAATAGCAGACATTTCAAACCAGGTAAGGGAACAGAGTGGTTTATCAGTTAAGACTACTGCCAATCCTGGCAAGTCTACAACAGAAGAAAAAGATATGTTATCACAAGCACCAGAATAATATGGCCACCGAGAAGCATCAAAGCAAGGTGAGAAGAAGAAACAGCCCTGTTTCTATTGTTAGAGAAGGACAGGTGGTAGATGAAGTATTTCAGCAATGCTACTAGAATAAAAGCAAATTACATTTTTGCCCTTTTATGGGTCACAATAAAGACACAATAAAGGTCAGAGTTCCTAATTGAAATGAAAAGGTCACAATAAACAATTTTCAAATTAAAAGAAACTGATACAGATAATCTGTTGAAAGTACTCATAAAATTGTTTTGGTTCAGCCTTCCCTATTAATTCAATAAAAACAGCAAAGTTTAATATTATTTACACAATAAAAGCCTACTAAATTCCATATAAGAGTATAAGAGAGAAATACTCATACAGTACTCTCATTTTATGATTTTTTTAAATGTTTGTAATGGAACAAGTACAACAAAGGAATAAACTGTATCTAATTGTAGATGTATAAGAAACAAATGTCTTTTAATATCTTGGTAATTCTTTAAACTCATCTCTTATCAAGGATTTCAGTATGTAGAGAAAAACAACTAAAAATTCTTTGGCCCCGTAAGTGGAAACATAGGTGGCAAAAGGATAATGGCTACATGCCATTTGACCTCTATCCAAAGGAAATCATGTTATGAGGAACCTGGAGGCAAGACAGAAGATCCAGTAAATAGATGTTTGAAGTTGGTGAGGGATTCTCCTGGAAAGAGAATGTTTGAAATCTTTTTGCTTAGAAAGGAAAGATCAACGTCCTGTAAACATCTAAGACATTACGATAGCACAGAATGTGCTGGCCTGTTTATACAGCAACAGAAGATATACAGTGCAAACCATATGTATGGCAGAGAAGTACTGTGCTCCACAATAAGTTGACTTCTCACATACAGAAGTTTATATCTGATTATCCAAAATGACATTGCAAGCAAAATGAAAATTTTTCCTAAGCAATCAGTAAAAACTAATAATCAGTGAAATGAAACACTAGAACCTTCCCTGAGATGTTTAAGAAATACACAGAACAAGCAGAGGAGAGGCAAGAAGACACCAGGAGGATTCCAAGAAGAAATTTTCTGTAAAAGCAAGAACGTGCAGAATAAAATAGCAAAATGGATCATGAAACTATCTCAGCAGATGCTGAGGACAGAGTGCAGACTTCTAGATTTGCTTGCAGTAAAACCACAATTTTCTTAATCTCTTTTACAAGTATTTGGTAACAATTGGCCACAGCTTCATTGAATGTGTCAGAGAGATGAAAATGAATCTCAGCACAGCTCAAGTTAAGAGTGATGATCAGACAAAAGGCTAATATAAGGCACTCCAGACCCTGGAGAGTTATGAGTCATGCATCTACTATACTGAAATGCTCATGTGAAGCTGAGCTTTCCAGGAAATTTCCCAAGGGATGATATAAGACAAGTGTCCCACTCATGCTGCCTGGCTTGTTCTGAGAGAAGGCATTGCAAAAGTTAGAGAAATAAGTTTTTTCAAAGGATCAGCTAATAAAGCTCTAAGTCATGCAGCAAATAGACAGAAAGGAAAAGCTCAAATTCCCAAGAAAACAGCCACAAAAAGAAACAGAACTCCTTAACTGCAAGAAGAGCACATACACAGACATATCTGCAGCAGGAATCCGAGTAAATCTTCACAAGAGAGGGATTACCTGAGATTTACAGAGATTTATTATTATTATTATTATTATTTAGGAAAAGCAAATGAATAACAAGTCTGCTAAGGGCTAGATCATCAAACCATCTCATCACCACAAGCCAGCTGACAGCCAGACAGAAGAGATATCTGAAGCAAATAGGAAACTGCATGAAAATGCCATTTCACCTTTGCTGGCTGAGGAAAAGAAACAATGGAAGAAAACGTCTCATGGACACAGTGTAAAAATTACATTCAGAAGTTATAATATTATAGGCTTTTATCCTGTGTTTATATCATTCATTTTTGTCAAAGAAAGTTTGTTAATCTGTCGATGACAACAATGTATGTGTTAAGGCGAGATGGTTCTGGAACACATCAGATAATAAGTCTGGAACCAAAAAAGACACAGATGCACTACAGTTAAGGTGTGGGGAGAATTAAAAAATATAATTTCAAAGTACAAAGACAAAATCCTACATGTGAAGTTGTACAAAGAACACTGATAAGAAATTACAAAGTGCCGTAGAAGAACTTGGGATTTACAAGGAATCACAGGCTGAATATGAATCAATCATCTCCTGCTGTTGTGAAAAAAGAAAATACTAAATTGGGGCACATCATTTGAAAGACATGTGAAACACTTTTTCCAGTCTACGCAGTAGCAGTAAAGCCTCACACTGAGCCCTGCGTCCAGCCTGAGCACATCATTTCCAGAAGGACACAGATCAGCTGGAAGATATACCGCAGAGAAGTGAGAATTATTATAGTATTAAAAAAGAAAAAAAGAAAAAGAAAAAAGAAAAAGGAAAAAAAGAGAATCTGTATGAGGTTAGATTTTTTTTTTTCAATATTATAATAAAATGGTTCATTTGGAAGGAACCTACAAACATGACTGAGTCCAACCGCCTGACTTTTTCAAGGCCAGCCAGAAGTTAAAGCATATTATTAAGGGTGTTCCAAAAGCCTCTTTGAACACCATTCTTTCAACCTAAGCCACAGGTCAAGAACTCAACGTTCCAAGTGCTGGGCAAGTACAAAATAACAAGTCTGTCCCTAACCATTAAAAGCAAACAGAAAAATCTATTAAAAAATAATAGAGGAAATACTAGAGAAAAATGCTTATGGATGTTCTGTAGATCGCCTAAGATGTTGCAGCCTTTAATTATATTTTTAAAGTGAGACTTTGAGGTTATCTGGACCAAAAAGAAATATTAAAAAGCTCTAAAATGAGAGGTTAAAGCAAAAAAGAACTTTTCACCTCAGACACTAGAAGTGACCACAGAATAAGATGAGACTGACTCCTGAAATCAAACAGTGTAAAAGTTAGATCTAATCTGCTTTGAGATAGGATCACATGTTAGAAACTACCTCTTGCCATGTTTATAATAGAGCAGTTTTGTACTAATGGTACAAAAAAAATTTGCATGCATAGTGATTATTTCCATATATGTATATACGTAGGTATCTCTGAAAATAATGCCTATTTATTTCTGCTCAAAGTACAACAGCCAGAAAAAGCAAAATAACGCTAGTTGATAAAGCAAATTCTCATCTACAAAACAGTTTTTCAACTTAATCACCACAATTAGCTACGCATTTTTGCCAGCCATGAAAAACTGCCTGCATGCTGTGCTCATAAAACTCTGCATGGCCATCTGGAACATGGCTTGTTTTTCAAATTGCCATTGCCACTGCTGAAACACACCACCCATCGCCTCAGTGTGCTCACATCCATTCTCTAGCCTGTATAAATATTTAGCAAATGTCAATTAATGTCAATAGATCAATTTTTTCTGCACAGAGGAATTCAATTCCACACCTTTGCTTCATACGTACTTTTATGTCAGATGCTGTTTTGTCAGATTGCCCCTTTGCTGCCATCTGTCACTCAACAATAACATGTAACGGAATATTGTCAGGAAGGCTCAATCTGTATTTCCATACCACCAACATCTGCTTCTGACATCATGGGTCAACATAATAAAATAGGAGGCATTACTTTCAATGAAGCCCTCGTATATATTAATTACATATTCATGCATATGTGAGATGTTAGTACATCACTGTTTACAATGGGAAGAATGGATAAGGCTCATCATGCTGGTCATAAACCTAACATATAATAAAATTCTTATGTTACTGTTCAATTTAGTAACATTATTTTGTAAATGTACTGACTTCATCTGATGACTGCATTATAATTACTTTTATTCCATTTACTGAAAATATTAATTATAGCAAACGAAACAGCCTGGAGAAAATAGCTTTTTTCACGATGCACTCGCAGTTAGTGATGTCAATTATCCTCAGACGCAATGAGATAACTATATCCATGTTGACCACTCTTCCTCCCTCCTGAACATGTTACTTGCCTCCAAATAAAGCATGAATTACTATATTGCTACATTTATCATGCACACTTGAGACTCTAGGCTCTGGAAATCTTTCAGCTAAAACCCTAGAAATACTTAACATCAGCAATTGTTAAGTGATATAATGCAAGAGGATACAAGGATAAACAGTTTGAAATATATCTAAAGCATTTCTATAGCACTTGATTTTTCAGATTGTTATTTCTTTCTTGCCTGTACAGAGCTTTAATGTCAAGCAAGTTACAGAACTTTTTTTCCTAATGTCTCTGGGGCTTTTTACTGCTATCCCAGATCTTTTTTAGAAAATAATTTTTATAAACAACTAAAACAATAATGTCAAATATTTCAAAAATGTTTTAAAATGCAAATCATTACAGAAAAAGAGAGCTTCTCTGCGAGGTCTGTACACATCACTGTTTATTTATTACAGCCTCAGTCCCAGCACCCGTCCCTAGCTCACAGTTGAGATAATGGTGCATAATTGAGATTCTTATGTGTTATTCTTCTGTCCTTTTTAACAGTTGCATTAACCAGGTCCTTTCCTAGCCCTAAACAACCCTTAGGTGATACAGCAACTGCTTACATGGAAAAAAAAAAGCCACCATTAGGAATATATTTTAAGAAGTACTGTTGAATATGCCACTTGAATTCTAAGAAGAAAACTGTAAGGGATGCTCTTAATTCACTGACTTCCATTTGGAAATAAAATATCTTATTGAATGCATGAGGGTGAATAGTATGCATGGAACAATCTGATTACCAGCTGGCACAGGTCACTTCTGCTTGCACTCTGAGCTGACCTGATGCTGTGTGCAGATGACATCCACAAGCTCCCCAGCTCTTCAGTTTCAGCTGAACTCCATGCTAATTTGGCCATAAGCAAACTCAGATCAGTGCAGCACAAAGTCCAGCAAGATTCTCAACATCTGCTTGGAGAAATACTTTTTAGACATATTCTCTTAGAGTCTCTTAGGCCAGCACGGGCTCAAAGACTAGCAAAGTCTACCCCAATTTTCTCAGAAAAAATGGCATGAGCATAGATCAAAAAGAACTCAAGACTGATTACAGTACAACTGCTCTACAGATAATGCTCATACACAGAGTTGTATTTTAAGACAGCTTAAAGCCTCAGTCCAAAAATAAACATAAATAAAATACCATTGTGCTGAGTATGAAGGAAAATTATGTTCACATAAACAGGCCTCAGAATACACAGCTCTGAAGACAGCTCAGTCTGAAGAGTGAACATTTGCTTACTATTTTTGGAGGCTGTTTGCTTCCTTCAAAAGCATGTTTAGTGTGCTGCAGTCAACCCAGCCATGCAAATGAATGTGCACAAAAGTTCCAGAGAATATTTGTTTGAATTTCGTTCTGAATTTTCATTGAATTGTTGAAAAAAATTAAATTTGGGATCAGGAGAACTATAATTATTTAAACAGACTTAATTTCAGTTGATAAGCTGATGGAAGGAAGATTTAACAAAAAAAAAAAAAAAACACAGATTTTTAAATTCCATTTTATTTTATTTCCAAGACTAGTCTCACTAATGCATTTTCTTGCTGAAAAAAAACAGTGATTGATTTATTGACTGTGACTATGCAAATCTTATCACTTCTTATTGCTTACTATGAGTCAGAGATTTAAAAAAATATATGTATTTACTGTTCTGTATGTAGTCCCATCTAAGTTCAGCCTTGAACATAACCTCCATGTGACTGAGAGCCCAGGCATTAGACCTATGCTCTTTCTATCCTACTGTTTCAAGTTTTAAATGAGTAGCCTGCTTATTAGGAAACAGATTTTGGAGTTTTATGGACTTTAAGCTCATTAAAGTCAAAGAGAATATTTCTGAATATTTTCAAGATAACTGATTAAATTTCTTTTAGTACTTTATTTGCTTCTCTAGAGTGTGAATGTATTCATTTACATGGTTATGGCTGCTGAATCCAGTGATAAGTACTGTAAAAAAAAAAAGTCTGAGAATGATTCTCCTTTCTTTCTCCCTGAAAGAGATTGGTCTGTTTTTAACAAAAGCTGCCAGATATAATTCAGCAATTATGAAAAGGCCTTTTGTTTACTTTGTCAGCAGCAAACCTTAAGAAACCACCTTCATGTAAAAGTGTGCAATGTTAAATTCATCCTACCTTTAGCTGTACTAGATGCACATCCACATGCCTGCTATCCGAGTCCTGCTGGACAGAATAAGTCAAATCCCTGACTCTTTCAGATGTCATTCGAAGCCATGTCTCAATTTCTGGCAAGTGAAGAACAATCTTCCAATCAGCCCCAGTGTGTAGAGGAGGTGGCTTGTCATATTGCTGGCCAGAATCAAGCTCCTTCATTACATCCTCTTCCTCATCTCCATCTACTGTAGGAGTCATGTTTATAAGCATGGGAGAAGCATCAGATGGCATGGGGTCCAGATCTTGTGTTCTCATAGGAGAGAGTGCTACATCCATGGCTAACACAGGAAATTTTAAAACATGATTCTTTAATATATATCTGTAAGGACAAAAATAAAAAATAGAGACTGCTGTTATGAGACCATATTTACAAAAAAAACCAAACGTTCAGTAGACTAGAAGTAAATGAAAAATTCAGAGAGGTATCATCATACCTCTCAAATAAATCCTTCAAGTTGCACATCCAACTGACAAGTTTGAGAATGAACAGATTTTTCAAATTAAACTTTCATAATTAGAACAACTTCCTGAAGAAAAATAACGTTAGCACATTTCTCCCACCGTAGACTATCAGCTTGGAAATAACAGCTTTAATTCATGAAAAAAAAAATGTGCGTACTTTCTACAATTACAACGTAAACAAATTGAAAATCCACGAAGTTACTGAACTCCACAAGTTAACAAGGGTCTCACATTCGTAAGTTAGCACATATTAGTACATATTACTTGGCCTGAAAGTTATGACTAAAAAAAAAATCTCAGGTTTTACGAACTTCTTTTTGCAATTGCCTACTCAACTAATGGTCATTTACAATAAAAATATTGACAGTGTCTAGTTTTATCAGTATTCCATATCATAACATCACGTGACAGGCTGTTGGGTGTAGAGACACTGCCCTGAAGAGCTGTGTTTCCCGTTTATATCCAGCAGTCTCACATGAGTTTTAACTCTCCAAGGGGAACACACACTGGGATGCACCGCATCTCCCAGGAGTCTCATGATTTCCAATTCTGGGTGATGGGAGAAGAGCTCTCTGGTCTTTTTCCAGGAGGTGAGTGGTAAGGGGCCTGTCAATAAAGATTCAGACTTTTTCTCTGCTCTGGTTTTATTTTTGGTTCATTTTATTACTCTTAATTATTCTGTATTATCTCATATTCCTTTTAATAAACTACTTCTCTTACTTCAATTGTTTTTTTCCCTCTTCCTTTCCCCCTCCATTTCTTCCCGAGGGGGTGAAGGCGTGTCACGTTATTAACTCTTCAAACCATGACAAAAGTAAATTTTTGACAACTAATGTGTACACTTGGTCAGTCTGCTTGTAGGCAGGCTTCAGTCTTGAAATGTAAATTCTTGTAGTTTTGTTAGATTAATAACTGTTGCAATACACAAATCTCTATCAAAATATGTAAATAAGAATTCCATACTTAAGTGTCAAAATGCATACCTAAAATTAATAAGTCTTTATCGGTGACAGGATAAGGGGAAATGGCCTTAAGTTGCACCAGGGTAAGTTTAGGTTGAATACCTTCTTTACTGAAAGGGTTGTTAAGCAGTGGAATAGGCTCCCCAAGGGAGGTGGTTGAGTCACCATCCCTGGCTGTGTTTAAAAACTGATTGGATGTGTGCTCAGGCACGTGATTTAGCGGAGGGCTGTTAGTTAGAGTTGTATGGTTAAGCTGTGGTTGGACTCGATGATCTTGAAGGTCTTTTCCAACCTGACTGATTCTATGATTCTATTCTATGATTCTATGACTTTATTGAAGTCCCAGATCTTTCTGTTTTCAGCATACCCTTACAACGTTCACTTGAAAAAGGAAAACATTTTGCTCTGTTCCTCTTTCTCTGTAAGCTCTAGCTACATGTAGAAGGCTGCAGTAGACTTTACACCCAAGGAAAAATAAGAATACTTAACAGCATGGAGTCAGACTTAGAGCTAAGTACCGAAAGAATTATGAAAACTTTAATTTAGTAGGAGATGCAATTCCAGAAAGATTCAGATTTGATACATTAGAAATACTTTACTTACATTTTAGCAACTTATGCTTGCATCTCCATAGTGCTAAGATCACAAAACAAAGGACAGAGTCACAGCTATTACTTTGGGCAACATCCCAAGTATTTTATGGGTGATTAAAGACTACAGTTTTGTTTTTAGCATAACAGCAATAAGACAGCAGAAAAAACACCAGTGACTTTCACTACTAAATCAACTATGCTCTATTGAGTTATATTCCTAAATATTTCAGGTAGACACAGTATTCAGTGACTACTCCTGCAGAAAGTGAATACCAAGGAAGCACACAGTCTACTTCTCATAGTTTGGAAGGGGGGGAACAGGGGAGAAGGGAAAAAAGACATTTACTGTTCGCTTGATTTTAGCTCCTATCTTGCTTCTGTTTAGTAATTTACCTTCTGCACATCTATCACTCCCTCAAAACAATATTTGAAACTGCTCTCAAGCTGGTTAATATTAATTTAGCACTTCAGAACAAAATTTTCTATCCGTGCAATCAAAGGAAAGAATGCAAAATTTAAATCACTGTCTGCTGCACAATTTCCAACTCCTTCAGCTCAATTTTGTAAAATTCTTTAGAATAAGACTTTGTCAAACAAAAAGCTTTCTAGAAAGACTGCATAATGTTAATGTTTCAGGATGCTGAGCACCTCTCACATCCATCTCTTTTTATATCCCTTGTTTTTCAACTTGAATGCTGTTGCCATACATACCCCAAATATATTTTGTTAGACAAAATTCTATCTGAAGACATTTTCCCTTAAATACTGTTGCTCTTAGCCCAGTTTTATAGCATGTAAATCAACTGTTCAGGTAAAAATATCTTATTTTAGGCATATCCTTTACATGAATTCCTCTCTCAAAAAGTGACATTACAGTAAAGTGGATATAGCCTTTATTTTGTATGTTTGCCATCAATAGGTTAAACAAGTCCACCAACAAAACAGTTGGGCTCAAATCACTCAATGATACAGAAACACAGAAACAACAGCGCTTGCTTAGTATGCGTGTGAAAAAACTACAAAACCCATTGGCACTCCGCAAGAGTTTTTCTAACATGACTCAGCACTAGCAAGGACATTAAGGCAATTAGCAAACAGAAATTAAAGCATGCTGTTGAAGAAGCAAACAAAAGACAGCCAATGAGGCATGCAGAGCACAGCTCCAGCTCGAATGCAGTGCATTTGCAACCAGCACCCGCCCAAAACCTGCTGACCTGGGTGCTTTTACGATCGTTCGACTTTAGCTCACCAGCATTACAGCTATACCTCCTTAATCATAGTCACTCTTAGAGTCAAGTTCTTTAAGGCTTTTCTCTGCCAGATAATATAGCAAGTTGCAGCACTTCAAGAAAGAAAATGAGAAAGAATTTGAAAATGCATAACTCAGTACAGTCTCTTAAAAAAAAAAAAACAAAAAAAAAACATACAGAGGTACTACAACACACTGGCTACTAATTATCAAGGTCTGGAGCACCTTTAAAAAAAGCCTACACATGCTTGAAAGGAGAAACCGTCACAGCTAGGAGCAACTGAGCCGGAACACCAGCATGCAGACTGATTAGTACGCAGACTCAAGATATCACTTCCTGGCAGAATAAAAAGGCACCGTCAGGCAGCTCTGGTGCAGGCAAGGCAAACCAAAAGCTCCTCCTGCTCCCTCCAACAACTGAGCACAAAAACTCTCTGCTTCCCCGGAAGACTCCCAAAACCAGGGGCGAGAGCAGGCCCTTCCCAGCTGCTTTCTGGCCCAAAGAGATGCCAGGTGGCTCTGTGCCCTCCCTGTGGAGCCATGTCTGGGGTTGCTCTGGGGGCAGATGGAAAAAGCAAAGAGCCCTGCTACAGAGGTGGTGATGCAGGTGCAGGGTTCCGCTGGTTCCTCTCTCCGGATCACTGAACACACTTATGCTGGGTGGGCTCTGAGCAGGTCAGCAGCCTGACAGAGAGCTGCACTCATAAGATTCTGTTAAGCCATCAGCTCCCAAAGATAAGTTATCTGCTTGTTACACAATTCTTATGTACACACTTGCATCTGTTGACCTCAGCTGTATATTTTTTCCTCTCAATATCCTAATATTTAGGACATTAATTTATACAACACATGTGCAGAAGCTAAAACCAGCAAGATAGGATGTGAAGTCCTGTTTCAACTGTTCCAGTATTTGAATAAAGTAGCACCAGTGAAATCAATAAATCTCAGCAATAAATTTTGAGACAAAATTTTTTTTTGAACAGTATGGATTAAAACATTTGCTAGGAAATGTATGAATGGATAAATCACATCAATCAATGCTTTGGGACAAATATTACAATGTTAGACATTTTGTGTGACTGACTTCAATTGCTCAGTTGGTTACATTTTTGGTTTACTTTTCCAAATTCTGTGAGATGCACAGATGGCGAACTGTAAACCATTATAAAAGTTAAAACACTAATTAAAACTGAATACATTTATTCCAGTTACTCTGTATATGTTCCTATAGAAAAAGCAAAAAGGTACAGTTATACTTGCCATCCCAGTAGAACCACTATCACAGCTGAAATTCTTAATAAAATGAACAGCAAAGTCTGGCTTTCTGCAGTGTCAAATTCTGATAGCACTGGTGACAGTTTTAGGCAGCAAGCAGTGCAAAAATCAGAGGCTGGATTTCCTATCAGCCGAATTCTTTTTGTACCTAAAGTATCTGTACAAACTAGGTGGCTTTAAACCTGCAGATGAATAGCTGAAAACATTTTCAAATGCCACAATCAATAAAAATTCAAGTATCAATATTTTCAGGATGTAGCCTTTTATCATCATTGCTATCACTGATTTATGACTCCATTATTAAAAAAATACACCTCAAATTACTTATTTTCTATCACTTCTGAAGCTACTGTTTTAGTACACTAAAAGGATACATTTATAAATTACACAATACAGCTAAGAGCTTGGACTCTTTCTGGTTGTAGAAAAAATGACATAGATGAATTAAGAGTATATTTTTTTCCCAAGTCCCTTCTATACAGTTCTATACGTTTTCATGGGTACTTATATGAAAGGTGAGAAATTCTGTGTAAGCACATGCACACATATGCTTTCTATCTTCATATTCAGTAAGTGCATTATGCCTAACAGATGGCTGATTACCTTCCACTAATCACACAGGCAATCTTGCTCTCCCCTGGTTTTCCACTCAATCAGATCCCAACGCTTTTATGCAAAACACAGAGTATGTCAACCATAATATAATTCATCAATCATCACAAGCCTTGAAAGACCTCCTTCACTCATTCTGCATCCGTTATTCACATTTTCCTT